GCCCGCCGCGAGGCGTGCGTAGTGGTGGAGTTGGGTCGGCACTGGTGCGTCAGGTGCAAAGGTGCAGATGCGCGGGCCTCCAGGCCGTCGGTGTAGGCAGCAATGCCCATCTCATCTTTGTGCGCGGAGGCAGACGTCATCACGAAGGCGGGCGGGCACTATGTACACGGCCCTAGGTTTGCTAGAGGGAGCTGTACTGTCTCAGTAACCTGGTTTTGCCATCAAAGAAGGAGGGAACAGGTGGTGACGAGCTGATTGGGCTGGTTGACCCTTCGGCGCGAGAATTTTCAGACCAAAGACCCCAAGTGCAACAAGGGAGAAAGCGAGGAACCGCCATGGAAGGACAGCAACGAGAGCGTGTACGAAGCGGGCGAGTGGGTCGAGTTTGGTCGTGCTAGGATGGGCCACAGCGGCACCGGAGCAGCGGCACCGGAGCAGCGGCACTGGAGCAGCGGAACCGGAGCATCCGGATGGCATCGAACCGTGGCGCATGGACAAACATCTCTTGTTCTGTCAATTTTTTTCCGTTTTTTTCCTGAATATAGGTGTGGGGTGTGTGTGATGAAGTCACTGGTTTTGTAGAGAGACGCGGCAGAGATGGCGCGGATAACCCGGGTGCCTTATTTGTGTACCTGCATCGTGGGAGACCCCTACAATGTGGAACGATTCCTAGTCAGTGTCGATGATTACACTGCTGCTGTGCCTAACACAGATGATCTGAATAGATTCGGGTCATTGTCAATTGCAATGATGGCTTTGGTTGGGTGTTCTTCATTGCATGTCCACGGACGCATTCTGACAGCACTTCAGACAGCAGCTGCATGCCCCGAGCTTGTGTACCATGCACCATGGTGTTATTATTGTACAGACAGCACTTCAGACAGCAGTACGCTGTAGTCGACATTCATATTGGTTACATGCGGGACAAGGGGGGTGATGCTGCTGCTGTAGTCGATTTGTAGTGTGTGGGCGTGTAGTACAGTTGTGAGCACGCAAAACGTGCTGCAGGGATTGTAGGTGTACCTCCTCGGGCTTATGTACCCTTTTCTTGCTAATTTTGTGTGTATTCTTAAGATCTTCGGGTGGCTCTAGCATTTTTGTGACCACGGACCGAGTCTTTGCTAGATTTTGGGATTAGCAACTGACACGAGTTTCATGGAAAGAAAAACAACAATAACAACAAGTACCGATTTGTTTTTGGGTCGTCCTGTTTGAAGTCCTGAAGATTCGACGGGTTCCGTCACTCTTCAGCCAATCAACAAGAGTTCTTTGGATCTTCCGGGCTTCAAACCAAATCTGAATGCGATTTCGTGCTCTGATTTCTTCGTTGAGACCCACCCTAAGCGAGGCAAATAGTTTCATCCCGCTTTTTATGTACGTCCATACATTGTTCACATGAGAGGTGAACCCAAAAGCATCTCAACAACGGGTAGTCTTTGTACGGTACAATACAGCAGTGGTGGAGATATACGCTGAACACGTTCTGAAACGCATCATCAGCTATGTACGTACACAATGGCAGGAACAGAAACAACTCAGTGCATGACGCGCATAGCGAGAACCAGGAACCAGGAACACGTCAGGTACATACTTGAGTGCCGACAGAGTGAGTTTTTTCTCGCTAAAAAATCCTGGTTTACATTGGAAGCGACGCGCTGCAAAGCTCGTTGTTGGCAGTAAACTTGATCGACTTCATAAGTCGCAAGGAAAGGGATTGCTGCACCCTTTTCGCGACAAAAATATCTCAGGCAGGAACCGCAGGAGGGGGTCCAACGCCCCCCTCCTATGTGACCCCGGTTGGGTCGTCTAGCTGGTAGAAGTGGAGGATAGGGGCCAGAGGGGCAGACGACAGAGTCCAACGATATGAGAAAAAAAAAAACTTTGCTGTAGACACGCGGTCTCCAGAAAACCACACCGGCCAAGCGGCTACCAGTCGAGACCACCTACAGAAAAAATCCGGCACATTACTTCGGCGACAAGGCTATTTGTGGAAGGCAAGAGACGTCAGAACCACCGTGCAGCTCGCGCCGCGGCTTGGACAACTGCGGCGGGTGTTTGTTGGAGTGTGATTACACGTGGCTCGAAGACGGTTACATGTACATACCAACTACTACAGCAGTATCCGCCGCAAACGAGAATGCATTTCGCAAGAGCGTACGTACTGGCTTCAACCCAGTTGTTCGTCCGCAATATATGTATTGTTAATCTGTCTATGACTCTTTTCTATGATAGAGATGGACTCGTTGTGTCATATTAAGAAAAAAAAAAAATATACATATGCATGATGTATACATGCTTGATATGCCTCATCCATGGTACAGCAGTAGACGTAATACACACAGATACTCGGCGGTTTGGGCGAAACAGCAGGTGACAGCAGTTGTTGCGGAACGTTTCGCGACGACTTCCCGATAACGGCGAAAAACAAGCCAAAAACCGCCCCTGCTTTGGGCTTTGGGCACACCAAGCTGCTGCTGGGCTGCGGCAGCTACATACTGCTGCTGAGCTGAAACGTCCCAATAGCCCCTACCCAAAGAGTGCCTTCCTTGGATGCGTCTATAATACTCTCCATCAACAGCAGTACTGATATTTTAAGAAAATTGATTGCCACTTGCTCTGTCACTTCTGCTGATGCCTACGCTGTGTCCATACTGGCTTAACCTCTACATACAGTAGTTTCCTATGTATGCTCTCTCTCGCTCGCTCACCTCGACCCCTCCCATGCATAGTCTACAGCTTCCACCGCTGCACCGCATAGAGATCATAAAGGACTTTGATGACGACGGCGTCAGCAACCACAGCAGTCATGTGTTTCAGTGTGCAGTGTACACCGCATTGTTCGCATGACCGGAAATTCAACATACCTTGCCGCAGACGACTCTCTCTCTCCCTCCCTCCCTCTCGCTCGCTCTCTCGCTCGCTCTCTCCGCCTCTCTCTCTCCCCCTTCCTCTCGTGCAAGTTTTGCTGCCTCGCGCAGTTGGGAGTTAGTCCTCTCTGCCGCAGCCAGGGAGAGGGTGTCAGGGTAATGAAGTGGGCAGCGGCGTGAGCGTGATTTTTGTTTTTCACCACAAAAAAAAAACAGCCGATTTTCGGATCTTCCGTCGACGCCGGCCCGGCAACAATGCGCAGAGGCACCTGTCTGACTTCCAGCTGATGCATAGCAGTATGCTATGCATACTAGACTACATCGGTAAAATATGCATAGTCTATTAGACTATATGGAAAAAATCTTCTAACAGATGTAGTCTAGACGAGCAAGACTACGCATATTAACGTGTGCAATGCATAAACCCAGTAATTCGCCTCTACCGACCGATAAATACAAGCCAGGTTTGTAGGCAGTCACCTAGTCTACACCAGACAACAAATAGACAAATTGCGGACAAATGGCACGTGCGTGCCCGTTTATCCGATTGCGAACTTGCGAACGTTCCGGAATATTAGTCTATATAAGTTCGGTTCCCGTTCCTTGCTGGATCACCTACAGCAGTCTCCGGAAGTGGAAGCTCCAGAAAATAAAGTCATACGCAGCTGTCATCCGTATGCAACGAAGTAAGCACAAGATGCTGAACACCCTTACTTAGCAGGATGCAGCGCACCCTTCATGCGACTCGGCGAATTTCTCACGGCGCTTCGCGCTTGGTGATGTGAGAGCCTTGGTCCGGTGAGAACCCGGCTTGCTCCGTCCCGGCTTTGTAGGGATGCGAGGTCAATGGTCTAGACTAACAACGACTAGTCTATACGGCATGCACGACGCACACCTCCCCCATGGGGATTCGAACTCACGACCTCTGCGACTAGCGTGTCTTACGAGGATACCACTAGTCTGCTCTGAAAGAATCAAAGCATTTGTTGGATTTCAGCTTTTACAAGCGGACATCAACGCAGTAGTATTTTAGCAAGCTTACGAACGCATATAGGATACCATCAGGATTGTCATTGGTAAGTTGAAGAGGAGATACTTTTACGATGTAAATGACAGTAGAAATAAGTCCTACATATGTTGTTGTACTTCGTATTGGTTTAATATTCATGTAGAGTATGAGACATTAAGTGAAAGTTTTCTGAGGTACATCTGCAATTGTCGGAAGGCAAAAATAAATAAATAAATAAATCCTCGCCAGATTTGTTTATTCTTGATCGCAGAGCTTTGACCGGAGGAACCGCGGCGGCGGCAGCCGCCGGGTTTTATTAGACTAGGCGGTGACTACCGCAGTGTAGTCTATGTACAACATCTACGGTAGGTCACAGGTCACCTACTTTCTGAACACACATTTGTTCTCCGATTTTCTTTTTTTTCTGGAGAGAGGGGGGCTGCAGGTTCCACACAAATCGAACCAATTGGGCGTCGGCAAAGAGACATCTATCTAAACTGTATGGCGGAAGATCACGCGGTTTGAATTTCCCGACACCTACCTTTAATCTCAATTGTTTTTTTTCATTGGTCTTAGCATCTCGATCTTCCATGTAGTCTATTGTAGGCTGGTGTAGTACGTACACAGACAGGCATTGGGAGGGACCATGATCAGGTCTTTTTTGAATACACAATTCATTCATCAGATACTTTCGTAACCTTCTTTGGGTGAGACTAGCCTGTGAACACCCGAATCGACCCCGTCAAGTGTTAGACTAGTACGGACAGAGAAGGTATAATAGTGGGCAGAGAGAACGGGACGGTTTTTAATGTGAAGATAACAACAACAACGTTCATCAGACACAACATCTTAAGCCCACGTGCATACATGCATACTGCAGTATGTGGAAATTTCTGATAATGATGACGGACAGACGCCGACGGAAATTGGCCTGTAGTCTAGTCTAGGGTGTTTGCAGTTCGTGCAAGGATACCGTGCTCAATGCACGCACGCGTACCACATGTAGCCTCGACACCAGGAGGAACAGTTGAAGGCTTTCGGTCACGAAGATGGTCTCGCGTGCCTTGGGACTGACTCGGTATTTTCACTCGGTGGTGCACACAGGTCTGCGTAATGCGATGGAGTTTCGAGAGGACCTTGCTCGGTGTTTTAGGGAATGAAGACTACTGTAGTGAGGCAGATAGGTCGGCATCATGCCAAGGCGGGTAAGTATCCCTTCGTCCCCATCAGGTCTACGCGTCCCCCCCGTCCCTCAAATCATTTAGCTCCACGATTCATCGCGTTCGGATATCATGGTTCACGCCGTGACGCCCTGACGACGAGTGCGTTTTTAGTGCTGGATGGTGTGGTCTCTGTGTTGTTGCGTTTCTTCGTACTGAAATGTAGGTCTTCGTTGAAGCAGCGGTTTGGGTAGGCGGGCGGTGAGGAAAACATGGTGAGGCATGATGTTCGTTCGATCCTGATGTCGGCGTCTCGAAACAAAGCTGGAAAGTTGCGTTGGTTGACAGACTCGCTTCCATCGTCTCGTTCACTCGTTCAGACTGCTCATGCCTGCTACTTGGGACTACGTACTGTACCCGCGGTATGCCTCATCTGGGTCATCACCATTATCCGTGAGATGCCTTTGCCATGAGCTCTTGCGATCGCCCGAACAACGAGATCGGCAACCCACGGGACCCACGGCGCTCCCGCCAATAGGAAGCCTCAGGCGCTCCAAACGATCTCAGACCCGGGCTCATGCGCGCTGCACGACGTCCGATAAACGGATATCACAAACTTCGCACGCGACGATTGGCAGGAGTGCCTGCAATGTCGGTGTTCCCCCATGACATGCAATTACAGGCTGCCCGTGGCCCGTGTAGGATAGGAGTTCGCCAAAGATGGCTTTCTTCGTTACAATAAGAATCCCGACGTACCCCTCGCCCCCCGTGGGTGCGCGTGACCCGCTTATTATTCTTGATTAGCCATGAAGGCCTATTATACCTCCCCGAGTGCCCGTCGGTGTCACCTCAATAGTGTTCACTCGGGCACCATCTTCACTCGGCCGCAACATTTGCAACTCTCTCCTCACGAATGCTATTAGACAAAAATCAGGAACGAGATGTGCCCTTTTGGCTCAACTCGCAAACAGAGTGCACTGTCTTTTGGAGTCCAATAGAAGCACGCATGTGACCAGGCATGATACGCAGCACATAGTCAGGGTGGCCAGACGAAGACATCGCTACGCTTGCCGGCCTTGGGGAACGCCTAAACTCACACAAGTTGAACCACACAACACCAGAGAGCAGGAACTGTCTCGTTGATAGATCAACAACGCCAATTACAAGAAGTCACAAAAAGTCGAAAACACAACCACTGCATTAACTTCTATGGTACGGGCCGACACACACCAGCGTTCAATAACTGACAGGGCTGGCGTGGATCTTTGTGTCGCATGTACCGCGAAAAGTCGAACACACAACCGCTGCATCAACTTATTCTAAGGGAAGGCGGACAGACACCAGCGATCAACAATTGACAGGACTCGCGTGAATCTATATCCTCCCACAACTCCCAAGCTGAGTTGCTTGTCCCTCGACAAAACGCAGCATCACTCTGACTCTGAAACGACAGTCATCCATCCCACCTCCTACATTCCCCCATCGTTTGCAACCTTGTGTACGTGAGTCATTCTCTGTCAACCTCTCAACTCGACAAAGCAACCGTGAGTGACTATCACGACATAAGGGGGAAGCCTTACTGCTACTGCTATAGCTACTAGAACAAAATACTGTCAACAGAAACCACACGAGAACGTCGTTGTATATATCGGCACGGTGGGGGTTGTCATGCCAAGTGTAGCCCGTCTCAGCATGCCCTGGTAATACCACCCGCATCAAAACGACCGAACCTATGAAAACAGTTTCCACTCCACAGTTTCCACTCAACTGCACCTCGCATGCACCTACATGTGTACCCGAAGGTATTACCTCATCTTATATGTTGATGGACTGCGGGACCTTCTCGGGAAGCAGCGTCGTATACCCGAAGTTGGCGGCGGCCCTCTTTTCCTTGCCTCTCTTGCGCCAGGAAGACACAACGAAGGCGTTCCTGCCAGGCATTGGATTTTGGCGGCGAGCGGGGGGAAGGTTCGCCATTCACGACAACAATTGAAGTCGAACGAGATACAATCGTACGAAAGGAAGCGCCTGCGCCCCCGTCGGGTTAAGAATTTATTGACCCGTGTGCGCGCACGTCGATGAACGGAAAGGGTACACAAACATTGTTGCATACATAAACTACAGGATAAACAGTGGGGGTTCACATGGGGCATCGACTGGAACGCTCTTCGGCATGCCCATCGCGAACGTCATGTTCGCCGTGTGTGTAGATAAAGCATTGCGACGCGAATTGGTCAACTCAGATCAGACAGCTCAACTCCCACAAGGGAAGAGCAAGTCTTTGTTGACATGGTGAAGCCTGCACCGTTTCTCGCTAAGGAACGGCACCAGGAATTACTTCTGCCGAGGTACTCTCCTTGCCAACACATGATAACGCACAATCACATGGGAGTTCCCGGCACAGCGAAACCCTCCCGTTGTCGGTACACGTTCTACAATCCGAGTCAAGTCTGGAGGCCTCGACAAAATGACGTCAAACTCTGCCAATTCTTGTGCGACCGGAACCTCTTGGCTGCAGAGTCCACCAATAGCGTCAACCCAAGTGGCACCTTCTTATGAGAGATTCGCCTGGTACATTAATTAGACTCCAGATAGGTTTTCGAGTATTTTTGCCATCTAGCTTGGCTAACCGACTTACTCGTCCACCATGTCGGTTTCGATGTCTTCGAGTGCCTGTTGGAACTTGGCGAGTGGGGCTAGCACACGCTGGTCGCTGAACTGGTTCGCCTCGTAGTCGCCCAGCCTGTAATCGTTCGTTCCCCCCAGCGGTCATCGCATTTTGATGGCATGAGTTAAAATTGTGCGGGAGAGGGCAATGACACCAGAGGCGTGAGTGGAACGTTAGAGGGTAACAATACATACCGCGTGTTGTCTAGCAATGACTGAAGATGCCACAATCAACCGTGCCGGCCTTGTCGCCTTCGTAGTGATGTTGCAGCACTTCCTGACGTTTGCTGGCACAGGCCAGTACACTCGGTTCTTCTTACACGGGTCTTATCAACAGTACACAGCGCATTGGCAGCCTCAGCAGACGAGGGCATGTTCGACGAACGTCGCCCGAAGGTTGACCGGCCGTATGCCATTGTGGCGCGAGCGCAGAGCAACAATAGCACTTGGGGGGGAGTATTCAGGTGCCCCCTCTTACTCCAACTCGAACGAAAAGCTTGGTACACAAAACCGTGCGGCAAGTTGGTCGACACAAGTTACAATAGTTGTGGTTTGTTCCTAGGCCCGTGATCGAGATTCGGACTGACTCACGTTGTGTAGAAGACGTTGCCGAGGAAGGTGAAGAGGATGACCTGCCTTGTGGCGATCTCGAGGGGCGGGAGATAGGCCAGATAGTCTTCGAACGTCCTCTCCGTCTGCAAAACAACCGACGATGGTGACAGTCATCGAGATGTCGACATTAGGCAGCTTCGGTGCATGGAAAATACCCCACCAAAAGTCTCGGTACCCTCCGGTACAGGCTTGCATACCCTACCAAAGTCTCGGTACGCGTTGGTAAAATTTCATACCCTACCGCGCATACACACAACAAAGCGCGTGTTCGAGGGTACGTGCCGAGGCATACCTCCGGTATGTACGGGCGGTAAGTACAGGCTTCCAAACCTTACCGAAATCTCGCAACGCTTCGGTAAGTGTTCACACCCTACTGAGCGTACCCGTACCTTACCGAACACACCCTTCAAAATGTGCCTCGAATTTCATCGCGAAACCGTGCCGACTTATCCTGCGATTCCAGTATCCCGTGCCGCCGTTACCTTGTCGGTGGGGGGTGTCACGTAGACCGAAGCGGGGTTGCTGGGCGCGAAGGACATGGTGGTCTTCTGGGGGAAGTTGACCGCGGCGTGCAGGGTGCTCGCAGAGTAGATCAGACTAGCCAGCACCTGTGACATGTGACAAAAGAGGACAGCCTCAGGAGGGAAACCGGTAGACTAACCGAAGACACCTCGCCAGCGACGGACCGCAACTTGAGAGTCGCCAACACCGAAACGTCCAAAAAACAACACGAGACTTCACCGCGTTGAGAGGTATGTCACGGGCGTGACAGCGTGGTGGAGAAATACCAAAACCCTCCTAGGACTCGTTGACACACGTCATGCAAAGGTCGCAGATCGTTGTCCGGCAGCAAGAAAACCAGCAGCAGCAACAACACTCAATGCGGACCTTAGCGAGGAGGCCCTTCTTGTCCGTGGAGTTGTCCCATTCCGCGAGCCACTTGAATTCTCCCACGGTAGCGAGCTCGTTTACGAACGCCTGCGTGGGTGATGGGCGGAAGGGAAGTAGGCCCCTGTTATGGCGCGGAAGACTCCTGTCTATGTTTACCTTCCACAATTTCACCAACACGGAGTCAGAAGCGAGATCCAATCTCAGAGCGGCATTTCTTCGCCACCTCTAAATATTGCACTATCCTCGACGTCCACGCGATCGTTTTTGCCTACCCGTTCGTCCATGAACTCTCGGCGGGACAGAGGGTAGGGTCGTGTAAGGTGGTCGCAGCATTGGAAATGGGTACCGGCAGCGGGGAACGTTATCAGATGGCGTCATGTACGCGTCAAAACGCAACCAAACCAGACCGAATTTACTCGTCAGTTCACAAAGGCGGCTCTATCATCTACCCCATTGCTGGTGCCCATCCCCGTACTAAACCATCAAGCTCCTTTAGTTCACAGTTGATTGAACCCCGGTTTTGGTTTGTAGTGTGGGCGCGCGCTGGACGTGAATGCTGCACAGCCGCCTACTCCAAACACATGTTAGAATGAGCACGTACGAACGGCTTTAACACAATCGAACCGCACCAACGCTCGCGATGGCAAAGGACGATGAGTTTGAAGTGTCACCTGCAGCTCATAGTCGTCGGTGATGTCCGCGTCGGTGCTGTAGTACACCTGATGAGCAAGAGGAGGACATGCCAAAGTTTCGGAAGCAACGGTACATAGACCAATAAGCTGTTGGGCTTGCAGACTGAAGTAGTGTGTCTAACCCGCGAAACGTACGGGAAGGTTTCTCACTGCAAGCAACCACGAGCAGAAGTTGCTTAGTGGGCAAAGCATGCGCTTTTCAGACTCAGCAACCTCGTTCATTCGATGCAAAGAAAAAAACAACACTTGAAACCCGGCTTGTGCTGAAGGAAAGCGTCAAGGCGAATACGACCAGCGAAAGACAGTAGAGTTCGCAAAATGGTAAGCGTACTCCATC